AATCTAACTCCATCATTCTTTTTGTTCCACCTTACTCTTTAAACCCTAATCTTAATTTTCTTGGTTTGGCTTCAAATCTTTAAGGTGTTTATGAGTACGATTTAGCCATAGTGGAAGGATTGTGCTCAAGTGGGTTCCAAGATGACTAAGAGCTAAATCTACAAGTAGTGCTAGGAGGGAAGGATACTAGAGGAGTCTTGAAGTGTCTCATGGAAGGATGAAGGTCATGGCCACTCTCAATTAAACCTAGGTTGATTTAATCTTATTCTTAAAATTAGGAACATTTTGATATCTTGTTTTTATTGACCAAAATTGGTATTTAGCTTATTGATTTAATATTTTTCCACTTGATTTTAGTTTGTGTAGTTGTTTAAAATTTTCTCCAATACATTGTAATTTATATAAATATATGTTTTATGTGTGTTGAATGCGTCTTACATTGGTTAGGCATAAATATGTTTGGTTGGTGTTTAATAAAATGTCTTGTGTGCAAAATTATACATTTGACATGCATAGGCCGGGCTACACTTAAGGAAAACTAAGGGAGATTTTGATCACTTTGCTTCAAGCTAAGGAATTGATTAGGAACTTGTACAAAATTATGCAAGAACTTAGTTAATTGAATTAGTTAGGAAAGCATACTCATTGAAAATTGTGCAAGGGTTTTAATTTAGGTCAAGAGAGTGAAAATTAATCTAAGCCTACTTAAAAAAGAATATATAAGGAATTTAACATCCCATAACTCCTAGGACTCTACCTTAGAAAGGTTTGAACATTCCCATTTCTATTTCATTAGTTAATTAGGTTTTTAATTAAATCAGTCCACTTAGTTTTATTAGCTAAAATCAACTACTCTTGGTTAGTTTTGTCCACTTGTTAGCCTTAATTTACCTTTGTTAGCCTCCTTAGCGGAGAATGACTTAGATTGCCACTAATATTATATTAGTGTTGATTTAGTAATTTTAGGGTCAAGTAATGTATGCTTTCAAGATTTTGCCCATTCCCAGGGAGGTAAGGCTAAGTTTATTTTGGCTTATTTGATGTTTTTATTGCATTTTTTATATGTTTTTGTGTATTTTTGTGATTTTTCGTGTGCTTTATTGGCTTGGATTTTGAAAAGAGCTTAAAATTGATTTTCTCTATTTCTCTAGCTTTCTGGGTGAATTTCAAAATTTGTCCAGAAATGCCCTATAGGAGAAAAGTTCTCAAATTTGGTATTTTGAAATATTTTTGTGTTAATTTTATTTCAGCCAAATTTCATGATATTGGAACTTGTAATTTTCTTTGTGCACATTTATAAATCCAACAAGGTTAAACTACCTATTTTGGAGAAATCCAGAACATTGAGGCAACTTGTGTAGTGCATATTTCTTTATGTACTTGTCCAAGTTAGGTCATTTTTTACTAATTATGCTCTTTGTTATTTTAGCTATAATGTTTATGCCACACATTTTTAGTTTCTGAGTCCTAACATTTTTGAATTTGAGGAAAATTCTCATTGGGTCATTTTGGAGGAAATTCTATCTCCAAAGTGCTGAAGCCCAAATACAACGAATTCCTAGGAATTTTCCATCCATCTAAAAATTTTGAAATTTTAGTATGTTGTTGCTGTTTGTCTCGCCTATTTTCATATAATTTTTTCAGGTTGATTGGACAAGTAGATTTCTCTAGAAAGGGCAGAAAAACTACTAGACACAAAAAAGGCCACATTTTCCATCATTAAAGCTTCATGGGCATTTCTAAACTCAACTTATTTTAATTTTGTTTTTGGACTCTGGCTAGTTATTAGTGGATTTTTTCTTAGTTGTGATTTTTGTTTTTCTTTGTATTTATTTTTTAAAAATTTACTTTTTCTTTGAAATTTTAATTTTGAGTCTTCTTTTCTTGCTTGAGTCTCAAGAAAATTCTGTTTTGGATTAGTTTTAGTTTTTTTTCTCAAATGTTTCTTCCTCATTTCCTTTGTTTTTGATTTTCTTGAGTCATTGGTTTTTACTTTTTGTTTCTCTTCTAGTGCATGAGCTATAGGCATCCTAGGAAACAAGTTTCACTTGATCTGAAATTGAAAGAACCTTATGGCGAATTAGAAGAGAACAAAATTTGCTTGCTTTTAATTATAATATAGAAGATCCCAATTTAAATGGCTTAGAACATCTTGGTATGCCTCGATATTTTAACAATAAAGTACAAAACCCACCCCAAAACCTTGTCCAACAAGGGGTCAAAATGCCAATGTGGGTGTACCTATTTTAAATCAAGGGCAAGGCTGAGTTGCTCCTAATGGAAGTGGCAATAGTTTCCTATAATAATTGTAGGAATGGCCATCAAGGGATTCAATTTAATAGAAAGGGAGAGCGACATTATAACCCCCTTGATGAAGTCTTAATTAAGCAATTGACTGCACCTAATTGGCATGATCATCCATATAGTATGCATGTTCTTCTAAATGATGTGGGTTTTGAAATTAAGCATTCTTTTATGCAACTATTGCCAAAATATCATGGATTGCCCATTGAGGACATTTATAGATTCTTGCAATTCCTATATCTTGTTTGTAGCATAATGAAACCAATAGGGGTACATGTACATGAAGTCTAATCTAGATTGTTTACTTTTTGTCTTGAGAGTAAAGCTAAAGATTGGCACATAAATCATCCTTATCATATTAAGGTGTATACATGGGACCAACTTAGGACACTATTTCTTGATAATTTCTTCCTTCTTGAAAATTATCTAGCATGAGAAAAGAGATCATTAGTATGGTACAATGCTTTGATGAGTCTTTCTATAAGTATTATACTAGATTTCAAGGATTGGTAGCAACGAGCAACTTGTGCAATATATTTCTATGATGATTTGGTAGATAGAGATAAAATCATGATAAATGTTGCTTCAAATGGTGCTTTGGTTGATTTGTCACATAATAGAGATTGGGATTTAATAGAGAAAATGGCTCAAAGTGGTGTCTAATTTGGACAAGAGAGTCTAAGGTAGCTTCGAAACACAAGCCTTCTCATTATTAGCCATTCTCAAGTTGATAAGATAGCATATAGGGTTGGCAAAATGCTTGGTCCTACATTCAATATTAATGTAGCTAATGTGTCAAATGTGAACGTGCCTCCTAGTACTTGTAATGCCCTTGCACCCTTATCTTGCAACATTTGTAATTCTTCCATGCATGTAAAGTCATGTTGCCCTCTAAAGACAATTATGCTTGTGATATGAATACTCTTTATAGGGGAAACTAAGGCAACCAAGGAGGATAATATGGTAATACTTATAATGTAAATTGGAGGACTCATCCCAATCTTTCTTATGGGAATCCACATAGAGCTAATCCACAAAGAGGATGGTACAATACTAACTAAGGCCAAAATACTTACTATGGTTAAGGTAGTAATTCTTTATACTATCAAGGCAAAGGTAGTATTTCTAAGCATCTAACTTCTGAATAGGCAACTTGTGCCAATTGATGGTCCATCTTCTTCTTCTTAATTGTTTAATAATTTTAAATTGGATATTATTATTAATAAGATGAAGAATGATAAGTAAAATTTCAATGCATAATTTACACAACAACAAGAGTTTAATGCCACCACTTCTATTAACCTTAATAAGTTGGATGAAGTGCTTGATGCACTTTATAAGCATGTTAGTTCTTCTACTAATCAAGTCGCCTCTTCTAATGCCCAATTCCCTTCACTCCCTAGTAATACCGTAGTTAATCCCAAACCTCCCATAGATGCAATTGAACTTAAGAGTGCTAAAAGAGTTGGTAATGATGGTAGTGATGTTGTTTTATATGATGTTATTAATGCTAGAAAATCTTAAAAAATGATAAAAATATGATAATTTATGATCTTTCTTGCTCTAATGTAAGTAAAGATGTAATGATAGTGATGATGATGTAGAGCAATTTTATGAGGAACCAATGCCAAAAAATGGCCAAGATTTTCTAGTGGAAGGTACTGGAAAAAATTTCAACACCACTGTCAATGCTAAAAATCATTCTGCCAATGCTCAAAAAGGGGAATAAAATGTTGGAAATTGTGCTCTAGTGCCAATCATTATATTATACACATTGTTATTTAATGAATTTCTCTTTTGTTATCATATCAATTGCATATTCAATATGATAATTGTATCTTTAGACAAACTATAGAGATTGTTCTAAATGTCCCTGGTCGGTGATCTTTAGGGGATCATAGATGAAATAAGACTGGTGTGACTTTGATTAATTATAGAGATACAAATTAAAGCTATAGGCACTTGAAAGAGTACAATGTGCTGGACCAACCCGATATGAGAAAGCTGCATGGTACAAGTCATAAGCTTATCTCATATGTAACTATATGATAGGAAATTAGTCGCTTATCCTCAAAATTACACTAAAGCTAACCTTAATGCAATACAGGGCCAACCCTAGGTCATCTCCCAAGGAATGGTTTTAAGTCTAATTGAAAGTTATTTAGTGAAATAAATCAACCAAAGTTTGTAGGAATTTAGTTATCTAGCTAATTATCTAAACTAATTACCTAATATGCAAGTAATTAAAATGCTAGTGAAAGTGAGTGAAATGAACTTCCCTTTTTACAATAATGGAACCCTAGAGATTAGTTGATTTTGGACTCATTATCTTCTCATGATTAGGCTAAATTTAGCTTTTCTTTCCTCTTGACTAAAGCTGTCATGACTTAAGAAAATTATCCTAAGCCAATTAACCTAATTAGCTAACCTCCCTAGGTCTTAGATTAAAGTCCCTAGTTCAATTAACCAATTGGTGAAGACATTAGCCAAGTGATTCATTCAAAATTCTCTCTTAACAGCCATGGTCAAACACATAAATTGAGCAACCACAAGATTATGTCAAGCTACTCAACAACACAAGCATTAACACCACAAGATTATGCAATATTAACACAAGAAATTCACTAATTGAAAAACACAAGATTATGTGCCAAACAAAGAGTGGCAAAATTCAGTCATGGTTGTCCAAGGAAGAAATTAAATGAAACAATCTTCTCTCTTTACATCAACATCAAATTCAAATTAGAATTTATAAGCTAAGATGATTAAACCCTAGATTAAGGAATCTAACCATCTAGTAAAAAGAGAAGAGGATAGGAAACAAAAGAACTTAGCCAATTTAAAGCTCAAGACTCATCCTCCATCTTCATCTCTCTAGGATTCCACAAAGAAACTTAGCCAATCTTCATCTTCAAGAACCCTAGTGATTGCTTGTGAAGGCCAAACTCCATAGCTCTTGAATGATGAAAATGAGTTTCAATCCTTGTGAAAATGGAAGGGATGGAACGAAAATGAAGAGAGGAGAAGAATGGTATGATTTTTGTGGAGGTTTGGTGGCTGAAAATGGAGGTTAGGGTGCTGGAAAATGAAGAACAAAAGAGAGAAAATGAAGAACACTATGAACAAGAGAGAGAGAATGTGGAAGATGAATGAGATATGTGTTGGATCCCATTTGAGGCTTAAAATGGCGTGCTCCTTGGTGTCTCCCATCAGCTGAAGCTTGATTAAAATAAGGAAAAAGAAATTAAAATGTAAATGGGAGCCTTGTCACACTTGCAAGGTGGCAACTTCCTATTAGTTTGTAGATGATTCCAATGTGTGCCTAATTTCCCATGTGTCATCCACATCATTTTAGCTGATTTAACCTCTCAAAATAATCATAATTCACGTGCAAACCATCAGCCATTGACCTCAAGGAGTGTTGACCTCAATTGCCCAATTGATGCACAAGTCACATGCCACCTATGTCACATAAATCACATAATTCAATTAAATAGCATATGATATAATAAAATCTAATTCATGTCCAGAATTAAATTCATATTTAGAAGGGAGAATTTATTAAATTAACCAAGTTTCAGGCTGCACAAAATTATATAAAAATTTTCACACAAAGGCAAACCAAAAACTAGGACAAACTAAGACACTTAAGAAAGTGTTGACTTTTTTATTTAATTACTCCCAAACTAAAATAAATTTTAAAAATATAATTTCACCATTCATCAACTGGACATAAAATGCACTTTTTTAATTTTTCTTGTACATTTTCTCAAAAGTTCATTTTTTGGACCAAAATGCCCCTAGTGCACTGATCTTAGAAACTTAGGCAAAGTTCCAAATCTAATGCAATGTGTGCACTTGAAGGTGATAAATAGTTAATAAAATGGTCCTAATTTACAAATAAAAGTGGGTAACAAATGTGTTCTATCACTATATCACTAAGCCCTTTGACCTGAGATCATCATGGATTCCTACATGATGACCGCTGAACTTTGACCTAGTCAAAAGTCACCTTTAACTAGGTGATCATAAAGGCTATGATTGAGTTTAGTGATATTCATGCAGAGAAATATGAGTGGTCAAGATGAAATTTGTCCCTTACATTAAGTGAGAGGTATTATTAGTAGGCCCTTCGATGAGTAAGATTGAGAAAATATATGACCATACTACAATAAAAAGGGTTTTTCCATTGCTGTTATCAGTCTACTCAAAGACAAAGAAAGTAATGGTCAGGTAAAGGAAAATGACAATTCTATGTCTCATACTTAATCGAAATATTGCATGACAAAAGGGATGTGATATGGTTGCATGATAGGCAACATCGAATTATCAATCCCCATGTGAATTGGGTAATTGTAATGTCTTGCTAGAGGTCACTTGTGACTTGTGGGCTAATAGATTAATTAGCCTACTGCCAATTTCATATGGCCCTATAGGGTCGCACACAAGAACAGCCAACTCGAGCTATAATGTCCAACTTCATTGAATTTGAAATATGCCTAGATTCAATGAATGTAATATAAGGTGAATGAATTATATATATATATATATTTGAATATTTATTTGATAAATATTTATATATATATTTATATAAAATTCAAAATATAATTTTATATATATACATATATTTTTTGAAATATATATATATATATATTCATATGTGTATATATATGATATATGTATATGATATATAAAATTAAATATATAATATATAAATATATATTCTCAAAATATATATGTATATATATATAATATAATATGACTATGTGATATATATTATATTATAATATAATATATTATGTTATGTCATGTTAGTTTTAAATTTAATTTTATATGATAGATTAAATTTAATAACTAACATGATATGATAGGATATCATGTCAGTTTTATAATTTGAATTTATAAGATAAATTTAATTATATTTTTGTGGGTCTTTTAAGTGAAAGATGAAAATCCTCATCTATATAATATATATAGGGACGTTTTTGATTAAGGAGGAGAAAGTTAGAAAAGTTCTAACAGAAAAAATACTTTCAGAGCCACGAAACACCCTAGAGAAAGAAAAATAACGTTCAAAGAAGAATAGATGCTACAAGCACTAATATTATGTTTGAGTTAGAGAACTGTTCATGTGGATACCGATAGAGGAAACAGATCTATGTTGTTAGCTCTTGAGATCCAAACTCTTGAAGAGAACATGCCCTAAGTTCAAAGAATTAAAAGGTAACTTTTCTATCCACATTGACTTAAATGATTTTGTTCAGCCCATATCAGGATAGGGACTTTAAAATTTTAATCTTCTATTGTGCCTCTTTATCCACCAGTGGTATCAAAGCCAAGTCAAATTTTTGTTTAAGTTAGGATTTGGTTGATTACATTCTTAAATATTCATGTGATGAACTTCTTTAGATGAACGATACTTTAAGATTTTCAAAATTTATATGCAATATTTTTTAAATCTATATATATTTTTCATGTGATATTTTTGAAACATATATATATATAAACTTGTTTTATATATATTCAAATTTATATGAATTTAAATAAATTAATATGATTAATATTTAGTTATGTGATGTGCATTCTCAATATGACTAATATTTGTCTATATGATGTGCATTCTCAATGTCATTATTGTTCGTTCGCATTCTCATAAAGTTTAGGCTGGATTGATGAATCCAAAGGGTCTGAGGTAGCAACTCATTTAAAGAGAATAAGCTTTTTGAAAGCTTTATGTAGTGGGACTACCGTGGCTAACTCTATATAGTGCAACCTAATTCACAATTTATAGCCTTTCATTATATATGAATTGTTTATTTGTTGTGTTTTTTTTTGCCTTGAAGTTGTTTGGGTATAGTGACACATATGGCACTAGTTTTACAAGGTTTGTAAATTTTAAATACGGCCTGCATGTCGTGCCTCTCTCTATAAACTCTGAATGTACATTCTCTTCTCATCTCAATCCCCTCATATGTATAAATGAGGTTTCTTGATGTAATTCATTTTCTTAGAGAGGTCTTCTCATTCACTTGAGATAGATATAGGTTATGTCACGCCCTAAAAAAATTAGACGTTATCGGTATAGGATATATGCACAAACATACATCCCTTAAGCCTTAAGTAATAAAATTCTAATTTAACATCATAATTCATTTGAAATAGGGTTGGAAATCATAGTAACATTTTTTTCATACAAACAAAAGACACTAAACTCAATGCAAGGATTTCCATTGAACTTCTTCTATAAATATAACACCTCAAATCTCTACAATAACTATTTACAAATAAATTAATAATACAAAACTTTGCTTCTCTACAACAAGTAATTGATATAAATTTACAGACTAGAATTACATTTATAGTTAATGTGGAGCACATAAATTATTGTCTCAACATAAAACACATAATTGAAAATATACATCAAAAGAAAAGACATTCTTAAAATAAATATTCACCCAATATAGTAGCAAGCCTTTTAATGATTGGTAGGAGGTTCATCATCAGCTAATGAATTTAGGACCAAAAATATTTTTTCCAGTGAATAGCATCCCCAATAAATAAATTATAAAGAAAGATAAATAAATAAATAAATTCAAGAATGATGTAAAATAATTGAAATGAGAATAATTCTATAAAAAAACTTGCTTTTGAAATCATAATCTTAACCATAAAGATGAGAGTAAACTAAAATTACGTGATTTTAATTATACTTAAGAAAATAATTGATTATACATAAATAGAAGTGGTACACTTGTTAATTAAAACCATTGAAATTTCAAGTGCACAAGTTGATTAAAACTTTAGAATTTTGAGGACTTAACAAAACAGGTAACAAACATGGACATAATCCATAAGGGTAAATAACTTAATATGACTTATGCCACGAAAATAAATGTGGACACACAGTCCATGAGGGCAAGTAACCAAATGCAGCCGAAGCCATGAAACAAATGTAGACACACAGTCCATGAGGGCAATGCTAATCAAACGCGACTCGAAGCCACGAAAACAAATGTGAGTACGAGACCCACGAATAACAAATGTGAGAACAAAGCTCATAAAAATCAAACTAGCTAGTCATTGACCATGGCATACTAAGGACTAACGAGACTGCCATTAGCAACAAGTGATCTGTATAAAGTCCTCTAAAAATCATTTTTCAAACATGCAAGAAGAATCATTTTTGAAATACAATTTGCATTTTCAATATCAAACTCACATGAATTATTTCAAATCTCAAAGCTTGCCAGAATAATATTTCATAGCTAATGTACAAGCTTATATTAGTTGAGTAACTAAGAATTTATAAAGTAAAATAAACAAAGATGCCTTCATCAATCTTAAAAATATATTTCATAAAGAAAATAAATGCATATACCATAATTTAATTAACTTTCATCATCATTCTATAATTTCCAGAATCAAAATGATTTAATTAACAAAATACATAATAATCATCGTAGTTGTTAAAATGATTTATATAAAAATGTAATATCTTAAAAAACAAACTACTTTTATTGAAAAAATAATGAGGCGCTATTCACTTACTCATAGTGTCCCCAAATGCAAATTCACTCTTTAAAGTCAAGTCTTCTTTCTTGTAAACACCTTATTCAACATAAATGATAATTCGATGATCTTTATTCAAGTCTAATAAGATCTTTTACGATATCAATAACACCATGATCACTTAAGTTTTTGACTAAATATAATTTATGCCTCAATTCCTCCAATCTCTACTATACTCACTACATATCCTTCTATTTAACACTTTGTTTCTATTCAACCCCTCTCTCTCTCTCTCTCTCTCTCTCTCTCTCTCTCACAACCTTCTATAAATTTACATCACCCTTAATCTCACAAAAATTTCAATGTTCTTTTGGCACCCATCTTATCAAGAACCTTAGGTGCATCTCAAAATCAAGTCTCAAAACAATATTCAATAGATATTCCAAAGATCAATACACAAATAGTAATTAGTACTTGAATTATTAATGAAAATATTCTCTTCAAAATCTCTATTCCTCGTCCCAACTTCCTCTCAAGTATTTTATCAACCATCTCATATGCATCTAAATTCAAACAAGTACCAAGCCTCTTCTTCCTCAATGTCCTTTTCAAAATTTCTTAATATCAATATTTAGATTAACCAATTTTCCTAAATTTCATTCTTTCAACTAATTTAAAAAATAAACTCAAATAAAATTCAAATCCGCACTACACTTAACTTTAAAAATCTAAAAGTTCCAACTTGCCTAAACCCCTTTGTCAATGTTCGAACATATAGCATCAAAGCAAGTAGAAAGCCACAATCTCTGAAATTTAAACACATCAACGGGACCAACAAAGAAAAGGGAGTTCAAACTCCTCACCTTCAATCAGCAGCTAAAAAAAGCAAGGAGAGAGAAAGGATCACACAATATTGAATAGGGGAGGAGAGGATTCTGACATAGCTGCAATGAGGAACGAAAATGAGAGGCTGACGGCAAAATCTAACAGCAGCACCACAAGCTTCTCCGACGATCAAGCTCCTCACACAACCTCTGATACATAAAGCAACAAGGGATATCGAATAGAGACATGAAGGATGATGACTGAAATCTTAAACAATTGTACCCCAAAGAAGAAGACAAGAAAGAACGGCGGCGAATGGATTTCTTACTACCCTCGCCGGCGACGCTTATGATAGAAGAAGTAGGTGGAGGAAGACTGAAGTTCTCTTAATTTCTTGGTGGTTTATGGTACTCTCTGTAAAATAGAGGTGCAGAACAAAGAAGGAAGGAGGAAGGTTGCACAAATACCCCAGTAATAACGGATGGGACTCTGATGCTCCAGTACCGACGATGCGGTGAGGCATAGGAAGGAGAAGACAAGAACGAAGCTTCTGGTTTCACAATTCTCTCTTTCTCTCTCTCCTTGATGCTTCCGTGAATGCGGATTGGGGAAGGGAATAAAAATATCTTATATTGCCAGGGACATAATGGTAATTTTATAAAGGTTGAAAAAAAATCCCACTCCTCATAAGGAGGTATATCTAGAGTACTTACCACTGAACTACCAATTTACCTTGATGAATCTACCTTTAATATATATATATATATATAATATTTAACATACCTTATCATCACTTTTTAGTTAATTAATTTATTATTTATTATTATTGTTATTTTTTTAGGTTATTACAGGTTTGGTGAGCCATATTGTGTCACATTTAATTATGCTTTTGATTAGATCATAATATGCATGATTTTGTATGAGATACAGTTGCTTTCACTTTATATGATTATTAAATTAATAAATCAAACCCTCTAATTAAAAACTTAAGTCATAATGCCATAAATTAATGAATACTTGTCAAAATCTAGATCACTCAAATGTAAGATCTACTAAAGTGGATACATTTAGGTTATCTTGGTGAGACAAGCGTGAGTAATGGTGCTACTCACAAAGATTCATTATTGTCTGACTTAATTGAGATTATCAAAACAGTTTTAGATCTCAAGGCATTAGATGGGATTGAACATGCCGGATCATATAATAATTGAATCCCATAAAGATCTAAGAGTTACATGTGATGTAATTGATAAATGATTTACCTACCTAAATAACTTAATTTTAAGCATCCTGCCAAAGCGGACTTAGATTTAAGTGAAATATGGCTCTTAACTCACTAATCAAATTTGAGGGTTGTTAGTTTTAGTGAGAGATATAAAATTTACTTTGTGTATTTTATTATAGAATCATGTCGACTAGTAACATTGCTATACTATCATTGCGATCAGTCATTGAGAAGGACAAACTCAATGGGATGAACTTTCTTGACTAGTTCAGGAACTTGAGAATTGTTCTCAAGCAAGAAAGAAAGGCTTATGTCCTGGATGAACCCATTCCTGAGGAGCCTGTGGCCAACACTCTAAGAGCTCAAACGGATGCTCACACAAAGCACATCAATGGCTCGGTGGATGTAGGATGCTTAATGCTAGCTACTATGGTTATAGAACTTCAAAGAGATTTGGAACACAGGGAGGCTTATGAAATGATTGTACATCTTAAGGAAATGTTCCAACAATAAGTAAGGCAAGAGAGGCTCCTGTAAGATGGCTGAGGGTGCATCAATTAGCACTCATGTTTTAAAAATAAAGAGCTATATTGATCACCTTGAGAGGCTTGAATTTCCCTTAAGTCAGGAGTTGACTATAGATTTGATCTTGAACTCACTCCCGAAAAGTTATGACCAGTTTGTTATGAATTATAACATGAATGACATGGAGAAATCCATTTCTGAATTGCATAGGATGCTTAAAACTATCGAGCAAAACATTAAGAAAAAGCCTAGCATTGTTTTAATGGTTTAGAAAGGAAAAGGTATGAAAAAGAAAGGCAAAAGTGTACCTTGACATTACCAGGACAACACACACACATCGTTGTGATAATTAGGATTCTATAAAATCCTCTAAAAAAGTTATCACAACTTAAGGGTTTGAAAATAATTAGTTAAAATATTAGGATCCTAAGAAAACCCTTTTTAATATATTATTAGAGCTCAAACCATGGTTAAAATTGATTAAGAGCAAATACGAAAGCATGGAAATCAATTCAGTTTGAAATAGACTAAAATAAGCCTTCTAGCCCTAATCTGGTTCGTCCACCATGGCGGATGGCACAGAGGGATGAATCCCTCAAGGGCCTCATAGCCGTGGCGCAACAATCATGACTTTTCTCTAAACATTCAAAGCTCATCGTTTCATCATCTGATATTCAATTTGAGCGGTTCAAGTGTCCACACAAAGCTCTTTGAGCCCTCTAGCTAATGGCACCAGTTTCATACCCAAACAAACATCAGTTTAAAAGATGAACACCTAATCCCAAATTGGTTTGTTTTCACAACAAAACACATACTATAGTGTCCAACTCACAATACCAAATGCCATTAGCCCCAAAGACACCTTGACCACCTCAAATGGACCACACACCATATAACAATTCAATCATAACACCCAAATGAGTAATCACGTTCAAAATGACCACCAAACCCCCAAATGACAATAATACAATCGGGTGGATAAAATTTAACACACAAATTAATTGGTCATTTTGGCACTCAAAACACTTGACATATATCATATGTAAGCAACTTGGCTAAGCACACACTTAATCTATAACATTATTTTTGGACCAAGATATACATACTTATCACAAGATTCACACAAGTTATATCCAAATAATGTCATGTTCCTAAGTTGGTAATATTTAGTGACAATATTCGCTACAAAACCGAAAAGGAGAAAAGGAAGAGATATACTACAATGCTCTTCACTCTTCAGATGCTCCTTCCTTTCCCTTGCCCCTACTGGAGCCCTCACTTGTAAAATTTAACCACGGGTGAGATAAACAGCTCAGTAACTAATATAGTTCATCAAATGTTTATTACCATAAATAACTATAAAAAAGTATCAAAACCATAGTAATAACAAGCATACCATAATTGTGAGATAAGTGTATCTTTTCTTAACAAAACACATAGTTTTATACTAGCATGATCATCTAACCACCAAACCTCTAATGCTCCCTGATACGGATTGCCGTCTGCCTTCAAAATTAAACTAAAGCTAACCCTAATGCAATATAGGGCCAACCCTAGCTCATCTACTAAGGAATAATTTTAAGTCTAATTTAAAAGTTATCTAGTAAAATAAATCACCTAAAGATTGAAGTTGATTAACTAATTGCTAACCTAATTATCTAGTGAATTAAGCTAGAAAACTAATCCTAATTTTGAAAGAAGTGGCTTCTCAATTTAAGGAGGAACCTTAGGGTGTTGTTAATGGAAGATTCCTAGCCTTTAATTAATTATGGCAGCTCACTCAACTACTCTTCCTTGGCTGAGAAATGCATTTACTTAAGACAACTATCTCAAGTATCCTAGCTTCACTAATTCAATTTCCTAAGTGCTATTACAAGCCCCCTAGGTGACCTTACTAGCTTAGCTCTAAAATGAACCAAGTGTTTTGCTAAAAGTCATTCCCAAATGCCACTGCCTAAAGCTGTACTTAAGTTTAAAATTATGAAAACTCAAGCAACTCATCAAGTATTAGACATTCACCCATTGAAATCACATATCATCATGCAAATTCATAAAGTGGATGAAATTCCAACAGCACATAGGCCATGAAATTCAACTCAACAATATTGTTTCAACATTACAAATTACAAACAACCATGTAACTAAAGTCAAATTGAACCACAATCAATAATAGTAATAGTATTCTAATGGAACTGAAACAAGATGAAGAAATAGTTGAGCTTAGCCAAGACTTCAAAAATCCTCTTCCATTAACTCTCCCCTAGGATTCTATAGAGACTCTAGCTAGAAAACATCAAGAACACTTTGCTTCCTCTATGAACACAATGAGGCCGTGGCACATGCTTCATGCTTCTTGATGGATTGAGCTTCAAATCTCCTTTTAGTTGCTTGAGGTTAGTTTGGCCTTGAGAGAAGAGAAGAATGATGGAAAAATTGAGTGGATTTGATGGTGAAAAGAGGGAGAAATAGTGGCTGGACGTGCTGTATTATAGAGAGAAGGAGGAGAAAATGAAGAACACCAAGAACAAGAAAGAGAAAACGTAGAAGATGAATGAGATGATAATTAATTTGATTTGAGGGGGTAAATGGCGTGCTTCCCCTTGTTTCCCATCAGTTGAAGGCTTAATTAAAAAATAAGAAAAGAAATTAAAATGGAAATGGGAGTCTTGTCACACTTACAAGGTGGCAACCTCTTATTGGTTTGTAGATGATTTTAATATGTGTGTAATTTCTCATGTGTCATCCACATCATTTAAGCTGATTTAATATCCCAAAAATAGAAAAAAATCATGTGCAAATTCTCAGCCATTGACTTTAAGGAGTGTTGACTTCAGTTGCCCAATTGATGCATAAGTCACATGCCACCTATGTCACATAAATTACATAATTCAATTAAATGACATGTGATATAATAAAATATAATTAATGTCTAGAATTAAATTTATAATTAGAAGGGAGAATTTATTAAATTAAATAAGTTTTAGGCTGCACAAAATTATATAAAAATTTTCACACTAAGGCAAACTGAAAACTAAGTCAAACTAAGACACTTAAGAAAGTGTTAACTTTTTTATTTAATTACTCTCAAACTAAAATGAATTTTAAAAATATAATTTTACTACTCATCAAATGGACATAAAATGCACTTTTTTTAATTTTTCTTGTACATTTTCTCAAAAGTTTAATTTTTGGACCATAATACTCCTAGTGCACTAAACCTAGAAGCTTAGGCAAAAATTCCAAATCTAATATAATGTATGTGCTTGAAGGTGATAAATTATTAATAAAAGGGTCCTAATTGAAAAATAAAATTGGGTAACAAATGTTTTCTTTCCCTCCTTGACATAAAACCATAGGCTCTCTTGGATCAACCACTTGTTGACCCGAGCACACAAGAACATCCAACTTGAGCTATAATATCCTACTTCATTGAATCTCAAATATGTTTAGATTCAATGAATGTAATATAGGGTGAATGAATTATATATATATATATATATTTGATAAATATTTATATATAGATTTATATAAAATTCAAAATATAGTTATATATATATTCATATGTATATATATATTTCAAAGATATATATATATGATATATGTATATGATATATAAAATTAAAAAATATATATATATATATATATATATATATATATATTATTCCCTACTTGATGTTGATGCCATTGACACTTTTCTTGATGAAGCTATTGAGGACCATGCATTTTCATCACTTGATCATAAGTCTACACTTGCTACCATTTATGCCCCTTGCTCTTATATTGATGCTTATGTGTGCTAAAATTGCTTA